TTTTCAATATAAAGAAAAATTAATAGGGTAACCAGGAATAGGTTGGGGTTGGGGACAGGGACACAGATTTATTCTGACTGGAACATGGTGATGATGAGTTTCCTAGTCTGATGGCTGGGAACAAAAGGCTCATTCTTCAGTTCCCAGAATGAGGATTAACAGTGAAGCAGCCTTGCCTGGTATTGTCCTGCAGCATCAGATAATTGTTAGCAAGGCTTTTCATGGGACAGGTTTCACTGCAGAGGTACATTTTGTTTTCAGTAGTAGGTGAAATACCTGCCATTTACATGTAATTTTAAAAGCAGCCTTTTAAGGATGAATGGCTAGAAACCTGAACATGACCTCTTATTGTCCTACTGGTCAACCACGGGTGGGATCTCCCATGTCACAGCGTATCTCCAGAAATCATCAGTACGTTGTTCTTGATATTTCTCACTTTTACCATGTAGATTAGAACTTTCCAGATGTAGGAATCTATCAAAATGGCCTCGTTAGTGCATTCATTCACAGGGATAGTTCCTAGATGTATGGCGTTGTTGTACAGCAGGATGCTATATATATATGGATATATTGGAAGAAAAATTGGAAGTCAAATGGGAAATTATATAAGGATATAAAAGTATTACATTTGGAATTGTATTAGCATTTGTTAACCATAGTGCCCCAAATAAAAACCACTTTTTTCCTTATCCTCCCTGGGAATTGTTGAATAGATCAGCACATATATTGGTCTTTAAAAAATTGGACATAACTTACGCAGTATTTTCTACTTAGATTAGATTTTCAAGGGGAACAGAAGAAGCAAGTGAATCTTTTATTGATTGTTAGTTGGTGCCACTTGTAATTATCAAATTTAAATACAGGTTTTAGCAGCTGATGGGTTCGTTTTGGACAAAACACGTGTTGACTTTCTGGGTTGTTTGCTCACTGAAGATGCCGGCTGTTCTGGAGAGGGGGCTGCGTGTTGGTCTCCTTTGTCTCTGGAAGGATTGATTGACTGATGTGTCTGCTCACTTACAGCGTTTTTCTTGCTTAACTTTAAAAATTGTGACATAGTATCGCATGTTCCTTGTATACATCATTTCTGGGGAAGAAACTTGTTTAGCCAATATGTCGGCTCAGTTTATGAAAGCCTCTCTGTAGCTTTCATTCAGCCTTCAGTGTACTCCATTAGGTCACATCATTTGTTTCATCCACGGCAAAGCGTCACCAGCAGCAGAACTTCACATTTGGTCCTCTTAGGTATAAGAATGAATCAAATGCCTGACAAGATTTGTTTCTGGTCCATATTTCAGAACCACCCCTACCCCCCATACACACACCCCACCCTTTCTGGGCATACGACAAATGTTACTAACGGGTACCTTTAGTTTTTAAAATATGGACAACAGTACTCCATGCAGTAAAAGACTTGAGCGATTAATGCTACCCTTATGCCTCTTTTGAGTAGTTTTAGCCATGGGGCTTGGCACTGCCACCATTGTCTTTGTGCCAAAAACTATCCGCAGCGGCTGTCGCATTCTAGTTCTGGAGGGTTGTCTCAAAAATTCCGCAGTGAGCACGCCGCTTGCTCATCACTGCTATCTCTTTTAAATATTGAAAAAATAGAATCTCTAGCCCTCATAGCTCGGCTGTGGTTGTGGGGATGGGGGGGGGGGTGGCGAAGAACGGAGAAAGGAGGAGAGCCGTCTGCGCCAGCCAGTGGGTCTCAGTGACAGAACCCATGCCTGACATCGAGGAAGCACAGATAGTCAGGAGCTTTGTGTTCATGGGCACAGAGAGTTACTTAAGAATCGTACTCAAGCATGTTACCAGCACTCTTGAAAATTTTATTATCTGAAACAAATGTTCCAGTGAATTTTTAGCAGAAAATCAACATCAAGACCATAGCTAATTTTTCATGGACAATTTACACAAAAGATGTATTTATTTGCCTAGAAACTGAGGTGTCATTGTAAAATGGCTGCTTTCTGTCATTAGGAAATGATCGGAATAGATATAATACGTCTGAGAAAGCGCTTGGGTTTATCCTCAGTCTCTGATTATTTTGCTCCCAAACGGGGGTTTGGGCTCCGAGGGCAGATTTATAGTTGAATTTGGGAACAAAAAGATGTAATAAAGTTAAAGGCTTACACTATCAGAATGAAATGTGTTCGTTCATGATCTCCGGAGCGATCTATTTGATGGTAAAAGTGGATGCTACAGATGAAATCTTTACAAGGAGCATAATCCTAAAAAAAAAAAAAAGAAAGAAAGAAAGAAAGAAAAAGGAATGCACCTCCCAGCCTCCTGCTGGCTGCACTGCCTCTTTGGTACCTCGCAGACTTCGACAGAGTCCTGGACTGGTGCCCATTGATGTCATGGAAACACTCAAATTACTGAGAATGATTCATGTCTATGCTGGTCTCTTATCCTCCCCCACACAAACACGAGTAGATTTTTAACCCTGACAACTTGTAATTTGCAGTGGGTTTATTTTTGTATCTGGATAAATATTTTTTAACAAGCAAAATTAAGATTAAGCGGTCTGTATCTGATATGATAGTAAAGAGTGCTGGGCCTTGTAGCCTGGAGTACTTTGGGGACTCGGTGCAGCATGAATTCATATTCTTCTCGTCTCTGCCTCCTCCTTCTCTCCCTTCCTACCCCCTTGCTTTTCCATTCCACTCTCCCTCTCTTTATTTATCTCCTTTCTTCTCTCCTCTCTCATTTATTCTCATTTTCTTTTTTTCCCTCCTCCCCTCCCTCATCTGTACTGTTTACACTGACCTTCTAGCTTCAAAATAAGGGAAGGGATAGCTCTAACTTATATATACATACATGAATTGAGACAAATCCTCTTAAGACAATTAATCTCTGAGGTCCATGTGCTGGACTCAAGTTGGGAAAGAATGCCAGGTGGTGAAATTCTATAGGGGATAAATTCAGTAATTCCTTCTAGAGAGAAAAATAGATAGTCTTTCTTACTTTAAATTGTATTTTACAATTCAGTTTTTAGAAATTACCAAAACAGGTTACTAGATGTTCAATTTCCTAGGCAGTCAGAGCAAATTCTACCTCATCTATTCATTTATCTATCATCTATCTTTCTGTCTGCCTGCTTGCTTACATCTCTACCTGCCTTTCTAGTTGTTAAACAAGTGAATATTATGTCAAAGTGAATTATGCTGAGGTTGTATGGAAGCTTTTAAAGTGCAAGAGCTTAAGAAAGGACATATGCCATTCGATAGCTTATAAAGGTCGAGTCTTTTCTGTTAGTAATATTTGTAGAGAGAAGCTAAGGGGCATCTATAGATTATATTTGACCTACACAGAAGAGTAGATATGTATGCATGGGCATTTGCACTGCTGAACAGGTAAATGAGTTTTTTCTTCAGTGTAAAGTCCCATACAATTAAAGTTATTCTCTTAGATGTCCCAACAATGACAGTATGTCTGTGAGATGATATCCTGTTCCACAGGAATTGAAACTGATATGGACATTGATTTTCTACTTTGCACTGAACAACATACCAGAAATGGGTGGGGGAATGTTTTCCAAGTTTCAGAGTTATTGAATCAGTAGAAAAGTTAATCCTGGGGGCGGGGGGGGGGGGAGAGGGTTAATTTTAAGACTCAGGTTTGGCTTTCTTTGAAAAGTCATCTTCTATTTTATATATATATATATATATATATATATATATATATATATATAGTGACTTAGATACAAGGATATATATATATATATATATATATATATATATATATATAGTGACTTAGATACAAGGTGCACTTTTGGTCAGATAGAAGATTTATTAAAGGTACATTCTTTGTGTAGTATCACGAAGGAATGCACTAATAGCATTGTCACCAAACTAAAACATAAAAAATGACCGCTGTTCCTTTTCATATTTGCCATAACTTGGGTTGAGGGGAAATTGAGGTGGATACCATTTGGTCTCTCAAAAATACTAATTTTGAATTTTCTCACCGAAAGAAAGAAGAGTATAATCCTAGGAGTGAAGTATAGTGTTCCTTAACATTCAGTTTCCCTCAAAAGAAGCATCCTTCAGTCTCAGGCAGCGTGGGGTTTGCGTTCTCGGTGCTTGGCTGTCCCTAGACCTTTTTAATGTGTGGTCTGGGTCCATTTGTGATAACTCTTCATATGTCACTAACTGAACTCTACTGCTTAGATCTCTTGTAATGTGGTTTCATTGTCTACCTTGCTGATTATTAAGGCTAACTATACTTTAAAAAGAAACCAATGAGCAGCCTTGATGACATCTTTAGATGTGGCCAAACAGCTTCTGAGGCTGCATACATCTCTGTATATAAAGTTAGGCTGTTAGAATTGGAACAAGATATTCACATTCTGTTATCCCATGTCCTGCGGAGTCTACTGGTAGAATCTGAACTTGGGATCAGAGTCGGCAATTTTTCAAAGCCCTCTTTTCCAAATGTAAATTCCATCATCATTGTGATCACGATGGAATTTACTCCTGGGAAAGGGAGTTAAAAAAAGAGAGAGAATGTCTCAGAATTTTGAGTAGTTTCTTTTGCTGTATTCACCATCTGGAAAGCCTTGATTGATTAGCTTTGGCCTCACCATTAAGTGTCAATATAATCAATGGGAATTCCTAGACTAGGGTCATTACATAGATAATTTGCCTGCTGTGTAAATAAAAATGAAATTGTTTAAATTTGTGAGAGAGAACGCAAGTGAAAATAAGAAATGACAATTTGTTTGTTAGAGAAAGTGGAGGCCATTGGAATGACAGTTTTTGGAAGTGTGGAGCAGTTTGGCTAAGAATAGGAATGAAGGATATTTTTTTCCAGTTTATCATAGCCAGAGTGAGGAAGTGTTATTCCCGCTCTTGCTTGCATACATTGCCAGTAGTGCCTACTTTACGTATGTAAACATCGGGGAAGAGAAGTAGATGTCTATTACCTGGAAGCTTTTTTTTTTTTTTCTTTTAAGGAAAAAACCATTTACACTTTTTTTGTTTTGTTTCTCTTGGCAGGTAAAACAGAAAGGGGCTCATATTCATCTTATGGGAGAGAATCAAACTTACAGGGTTGCCACCAGGTAAGTGAGGATCTCGCATGGGAAAGGGTTGGGAGAATTAGCCTGGTAATTTGGTTTATTTTATAAATTAGATGATGCATTTTGGACTGTGACACTAAGATGTACTGAGAGTCTGCCGATGCCTCTTTCGTTTAAAAAGTAATGAAACAGCACAGAGCTTGGAGGTAATAGGCACCTCATCTTTAGATCTCTGGCATATCAGAACTACATTCGCTGGCTCGCTTTTAGTTTTTAATCCATCAACCGGTACCAATGGCACTGTTTGCAAACCAGCGATGTCGGTGAAAGTGGTTCCATCAAAAGAGTTTATTTGCAATTAAGAACTTAAGAATTTCTTACACTAGAAATACTTCGTGCAGCCATGTGTCAAACCCTGGGTTTGGTGGCTACTGCCCTAAATTATAGTTTTCATAGGGGCTGTATGATGTTGTGTGAAAACAGGGTTGTATTGAGGGATAAAAATGTCTGTGAAAATATGATTTGTTGTCCCTTTTTGTTTCTGAATTGTTTTTGGCTGGAAGTCAAGGCCAGCAGGCTAACAGCAAAGCCGTCTCAAGGGAAGCATGCGTGAGCTAGAAAAATAAGAGTACTTTAATTAAATAATAAAATGCCAGTGTAATACAAAGGTATAGCATGTGTGTGTTTGTCTCTGTGCACCCTGCATTTGCATACCTTCAACTCTCCAGAGAAAGCCCCGTTCTAAAAATACTATCAGTAGCCCAAAGTGTAAGCTTTGTTTCAAGACAATTGAGATTTTATAGATGCTTTCTTTTTAATTTCAGTATCAGTATTAATCATATGTTTAAAACCTTTTTTTTTTAAGATGTAGGCTTTCTTTTTATAAGTGCATTGGTTTCTGTGGAAAACTCTTGATAGAATTTAATAATCCTCTTTAATATTCAAAGCTTTCTACTGTTTTATTATTCACCCAAACAACGTATGTTCTTTTTGTGCTGGAAAGGGAACGCTTGTTCTCTTGAACCCTCTCCCCCTCCCATTTCCTTTAATGAAATGGAAAAAAAAATCTATTTAAAAAATTTAAAACAACTGTTTAATATATCCTGAAAATGTAAGCAAACAGCTTTAGTGATGAAATAGAGCCCCTGAAGGAGGTTTGCTTTTCAGATCAGTTGCCTATCTCTAAAGGTGGGATTCTGGTGGCTTGGTTTTCCCTGGACGCATTTGCATTTTTAAAGTTTGCTCCTTTGGCCCAGCCACCAATGCAGTCATATTCAGCATCTGAAAGACTTGCGAGAGGAGGTGAATGGTGCCTGGTTAGGGAGCTCCGCTGCACGGCTGCAGAGGACAGTCCATGGGAGTTTGTTTGGAAAGAATTCTGCAGGAAAGAAATTTACAGTCCTTCCAACGCAACGGAAACATCTTTGGAATGTGAGTGCAAATGTTCGGGGTAGATAGCCAGGCGACAAGCCTCTCTCAGTGCCGAGTCTCTGGTGTAAAGCTCTCAATTCCTGCAGAAGGGCCTGTTCCTGTGTATCTGTTTTCTGAGGGTCAAGGCAGAGGTCGTCAGAGTTTTGGGGAGAAGAAAGTTGACAACATCCTTCCTTTTTGCAGATGGTCATGGCAGAGGTCTCTGTTTTTGCTGGGCCTCTTTTTCTGGTCAATGAGAGAATAGGCTTCCTCGCCCCTGTATCCTTTCTTACTAATAGGAATTGGCGTGATTCCTCACAGACACAAAGATTTCCTCTGCTGAGTAAGCGTGAGGCCCCTTAACTTGTGAAAGCATCATCCAGACCGCGTGAGTCGTCTGTGTATGTGCAGGGACACAGACCCTCCCTCGGTGTGTGGGAAATACTTCCCTCGGGTGAAACTGAAGTGAATTTTCTTGGCAAACATAAGGTGAGAAGTGGAAAGGGGCAGAGGGTGGAGTACAGAGGTGGATGGACTGGCGTGTGATGGCTGAATTTCTGGGCCTTGGGAGGTTCATTTTGAGACATTCGTGTCCAGGAAAACTCTGTTGTATAAAAGAGTACGCTTTTCTTAAAAAGTCTTCCTAATGTAGATGTGGAGGGTAGATGCTTTCTTTCTTATTTCTGCTTTGTGGTTGTGAGTCTTGCAAGAACTGACTATCTCTATGCTTAGCCTGGTCTCAGCAGCATCCATAAACGGTGTGATCACTCAGGGGTAAATAAAAGAGCAGACTTTTGGAAATGCCCTGATTGGGGAAATAGGGGCCGGAGATGAAAAGTGCCCATATTACGAATTCTCTGTGAAATCTGAGAATAGAGCAGACCAGAGTGTGTCTTACAGTGAATGAGTCTCTCTCTGGTGCCGAATGGTTCTTTGAATCCCTGTCTGCAACACCAGCCATGCAAACCAAAAGGAAGGCAGCGTCTCTGTATCTTGGGCTTCAGGTCTAAATAGCAGATCAAGCTGAAATGAGTCCCCACAGTGTGGCAAGGTGAGTGACTCGCGTGGAGGGGGAGCTTTTGTTTTCTCCTGTCCCCTCCATTATAGAGACACAGGACGCAAAACCTTTAGATGATATGCCCCAGGGAACTCCAAAAGCTGCTTTATTGTATTATAACAATATCCTGTGGACTTGTAGGGTGAGCACTGTTACATGTGACCTTGCTTATGCCAGTCCCAGAGGCCTTTTGTTTGGTGTAGAGAAATGCTGGTGGTAAGCAACAGGTAGCAAAATGCTGTCCTGGAGAAATGTATATTGATTCAGAAATGCATCAGGTTAAAGCTTGTGCATGTGAGTGTCCATTGTGTTTCTCTGGAGGATTTAACACTAATAGTGATAGACATGTGGCTTTCAAAAAAAGTGGATAGCTTAGCCGAGAAACAAAACCGGCAGGTTTTTATTTATTTATTATCAGTTAAGTTGTTTTCATTAAAAATAGTAATGGGATAATATGAATTCATTAATGCATTTCTACATAAAATTATCAGAAATAAACATGGTGACTTTTCAGACTTGAAATTGTATAGAAAAAGACCCAATAGACAAACCAAAGCGGATAAAAGGACCTTTTTTAAGTTCTCACTAAATATGGCAAAACTAATTTAAATCAAATTGGGGTACGGAAATCACACCCAGGCTTAAAATGTTCTTGCCAAATTACAACCTCATACTACTTTTACTGGCAGAGAAAATAAAATTTATAATGGAAAGTCTGACAGAAATGAAAATGAGCGGAAATAAAGTTTTTCTCAAGATAGTCCAACTTTAAAATGATAAATAGCCAATAGCTAATATCCCGAATGGGCATCACTTCAGAGGATAAAAGAGAAAAGAGGTCCTTTGCTTTTGGCCTTTGTTTTGCTGCTTTGAATAGGATGTTTGGTGATGGCAAACTTTTTTTTTTTATATATATCTCGCTGAGATCTCTGTGAATGGGGTGATGATGTCAACAAATGATTGTTATTAAGGTAGAAGTTTTCCCCTTAAATGGAAATTCTGCATTGATTATCAGGACTTGTTTGTCTTCACTTTCTGGGATATGGCCAAGTCTAAAGCAATGGTTTCTTTATTAGTATCTCCTGAATACTAAGGTGTGTGTGTGTGAGTGTGTGTGTGTGTGTGTGTGAGAGAGAGAGAGAGAGAGAGAGAGCGCTCTGGACCCTATTTGAGACTAGTTAAGTTAGAGTCTTATGAGTTGGGCCTTTGCTTTTCTTATCCCCCGGGTGATTCTAATGTGCAGCTGGGTTAGGTGACTTCCTAGAATGTTCTATAGGAATAGGCTCTATTTTAAAGATTTGTGTCCAAAATCTGGAATTGCCACTGACCTTGAAAAAGCTTTTCAATTTCTTGCCTTAATTTGATTATTTAAGGCATGGAAATACATTGCATATGTACTTCATTTAAAAGGCAGTGAAAATTACTGCTATGTTGAAAATCAGTAGATGCCTTGAAATCTTTATACAAAATTCCACAGCTGAACTTCCCGGTCCACATCTTGTTTTCTGTAGTGAAGTCCAAGGCTCTAACCTCCTCCACATTCTTTATCTTTTTCAAGTAGTCAAATAGGACTGTGCTGATAAAGTCATTGATTTGTACATCTGAAAATTGACAGGGTTTAAGGATTAGGCCTACTCTCGAATACCTTTGTTAGATTTCAATAACTTCGAAGCCCTACAAGAAAGGGGTCTTCTCTATATTTCATTTCCTCATAAATCTAGTAATTTTTGATTATTAAACTTAAATGTGGAGTTGGTTCTGAAACAAATTACATATTTAAGAATGGATTTTTTTCTTTCAATTATTTTTATTTTTGATATGAAAGGAGTTACAAGTTACTTAATTCTAAAACTTTTGGACCCTGTAAATTTTTTTCTTATTTAAAGTCAAAATGGAGAGGATATAAGCAACAAGGCATGGAATCCCTTGCCTGTTTTTATGAAAATGGCTGTGTAGGCCTTGTGTAAACAGAAACACTTTGGTTTTTAATCTGACATCAGGCTTAAATGTGAGTTCACGGTGTGCAGTAACCCAGCCCGGTCCTCACGTTCTTCCTGGGACCCGTTCCACGGGCACTGCCTTGTGCACTGTCTGTGCACTGCTTAGCGCTCTGCTTCACTGTATAGTGCTTTTCCAACTTGCCATTGTTTATGTTTGTTGAATTCTGGTTCCACCTGAATTCTGTGAGCGCCGAGAAAGCAGGGGCCATGCCAGTTTTAGCGTGTATTGTGTGGACCCGGGTTTATTTCTCCAGCATTACTCTTAGGCGTCATTTCGAGAGTAAAGTCTGAATAGCAATGCATAAGAACCACATTGTAAGCATCATTTTAATGCCCACGGAAACCAGAAAATCATACTTTCTATAAGAAAGTTCTTTGGAAGCCCTTCCTCCTAACTTCTATGAAAATGTCTTTAATAGCTTTTTGGGGGGGTGTTATTTATGTTTAATATTTGGTTTATGTCTTTATAATATCTTTTATGGCAGCGGTTCTCTACCTGTGGGCCGCGACCCCTTTGGGGGTCGAACGACCCTTTCACAGGGGTCGCCTAAGACCGTCGGAAAACACATATATAA